CTTCAGAGGACCGTCAACAATTGTCTTACAAATCTTCATAATGTATACATAGACACGACTAGTTGGGACCCAATCTTAATCTTCTTATGTGGATTGAAATTGCCTAAAACTTTGCTTCATCAATTTGAGGATACCCTAGAAGACAACTGCGAAATACCATCATGGAAAACTTTCGACGCATTTCTCACCCATAGATACAAATCTTTGGAAGCAGTAGAAAATCTAACTGACCCCGTTCCAGTTACCCAACCCGACAGTGGGCCTTATAGAAAAGGAAAAGACAGGAAATTTAATACCTTTCACGCGAACGTCTCTATAACTTCGAAATTGAGTTTTCCACACGCTAGTGAAAACCCTGTAAGAAACAGCATCATCTCAAGAAAACCCCAAGACATTGAGAGTTGTAAGTTATGTAGAACCCAACATTCCATTCGAGAATGCCCAAAGTTTTTACAAATGAATGTTGAGACCCGAATAACGTAATAAAAATAATGGTTACTGTTTTAATTGCCTTGCATTATCGCATAGTTTCAAGGATGCAAGAGCAAATACTCATGCAGGAATATGTTAGAAAGAAACATAACACTCTTCTGCATAGGGATGCCCATATCGCTCCAAACCCTCCGCAAGGATCAAGAGCCTCAACCGCCTCTGACTCTACCAATAGTAGTACCTCCCAAACCCATAATCCCAATACAAATCCCAAGCCTACACAACCCTCTTACAGTCCACTGAAAATAAAACTCAAGACCCACACAACTCAAGTAGAAGCAGGTTTGCTAGGTACTGCCATAGTGCAAGTTTCTTACAAAGGGCAATTATATACAGCTCGAGCACTAATCGACTCTGGTCAGAAGCTACGTTCATTTCCGAGAGCTCCACAGAAAATTGGACATACCCACATTCAAGAAAAACGCACAAGTGACCGGATTGAACAACACAGTCTCCGCAACAGCTACCAAAACTGCGAACTCACCCTTCGTTCACCAACAAAAAAAGGGAATTTAAGATAACGACGCACGCGTTTATCTTAAAAACTTTAACCGTAACTTACCCACTCACTCACTTGATAGAATAATTCTAATAAAGAATTCGGTTTAGTTTAGCTGACCCTCACTTCTATAAACCCAGACCTGTCGACATCCTTACGAAGTGATCTGTACCCACAAATAATTCTCAGTGGGCGTACAGAGAAAGTACTCGGTCATTACTAGCCCAAGAAACAAATTCGGTGGATTCTTTCCGACCCACACCTGAAAAACCCATCTCACCCTCAATATTGTCATTTTCAATAAGACGACCCCAGACAATTTGCTCACACAATTTTGGGAAGTCGAAGAAGTTCCGAAAAAGCCCTCTACCCTCAACTTCGGATATACTGTGTGAGCAACATTACAAAAAACAACCGAAGACACTCAACTGGGCGCTACGTGGTAAACATTACCCTTAAAACCCCAGAAAAAAATAGACTTGGGCAACTCAAGACATATAGTTTTAGCCTCAGTTTCTAGAAATGAAAAATCCCCATCTAGAAAACCTGAAATAAAAAAACAGAATACGACAAGGCCATCAACAGTACCTGGAACTCGGTCATATGACAAAAATAGAAATGACCCGCGAGAATACGAAAACATAATTATCTACCACATCACGCAGTCATCAAACCCGATCGCTTAACGACCCTAACTACAGTGGTATTCAACCATCATGCCCCACCTCAAATAGAAACAGCCTCAACGATGTATTACACACTGGACCTATTCTGCAAGCGACCTGGTAATACTAGTGGTAAAAGGCGTATGTTCGAATCGTATTCAATGCAGATATTCAAAAAATGTATCGTCAAATACTTGTTGAAGCAAACACACTCCATTTTCAAAGAATCTTATTAGAAGATCGCCTAACGACCCCATAGAGATTTTGAACTACAAACTGTTACGTTTGTATTAACTGCCCCATATTTAGCTATCCGTACCCTCCTCAAATTAGCGGATGAGTACAAGAACCCACCCACTGGCAGCAGAGATACTTCGCAACGGAATGTACGTCGATGATGTACTTGCGAGCACATGACGTAGCAACTGCGAAGATGGCACGAATGAACTTACTTCATCTTTGGAGTCCGCAGGATTTGCTCTACGCAAATGGACCTCAAATATCTCTCTCGTTTT